CCATCTTCACAAGTCTCGAAACACCTCGCTCCCATAACAAAGAATCACCCCGTGCAAAAATCTCATTTGAAAAACTATAAAAATAAATGAATCTTACGCAATACCCCCAGCGCTACGTAATCTTTTTCACCCAGTATAAAGCTCACTCCTTGGGCTGGTGCGTCTGGCGGCGTGAAACCGGTGGGTATGATTACCCACTTGGAGTTAACAATCTCCAAGTGCGAAAAGAAGATGAGAGACGGGTGGAGAAGGGGTAGGGTAGCCCGGCCCCGTTGGCGGTTCCCCTTTCATGAGTATAAAACAGCGAAAAAAAAAATGGGAGGAGGGAAACCGCAGACCATAAGAACGCAAGGAGTGCAAGTTCACATTTGGTCATTATGTACGCAATTTCTCTGGCTGCAGTTGTGCATACAGTGTTCCTTATCACAAAGGAAAAAAATTAAAAAGCCATAAAAAAATTATATTCTATGGTAATTTTGAAGAAAATTTTGCATACAATGGTATTCAACTGGAGAGAAAAAGGGGATTAAAAAAAATACAAGTTATCCGAGAGAAGGCTGTAACAACATATTCAGTTTCGCTTGTCCATATATTCAACACGAGTTCAGGCATTTTTGTAACATCTATATGGAGCCGTATAATGACTACATACGGAGAATACAACGTTTATTAATGACTAGAAACAGTGGTGAGTTCTGGCTTCGTTAAAACAACAGTCGAAAGTTCAGGTTCACTCTGACAGGGGTATATATGAAATACGCACAGCAGAGCCTCATTATTTTCCCCCTGACTTCATGATACTTCCGAGAACCGCCTCCCCCCCCCCCCCTCCCTTCGCTCACCGATAAATATAAAACTTTTAATATTTAACGAGTTACATTGAAGAGCTGAAAATAATACGAATTCTCGGGTATTCGACACAAGTGTCTACACGGCACACAAGAGTGGACAAAAAAATGCCGATAATTCACCTGGGATACGTATGGAAACGAATTTTCCTCTGGCACACGACAATTTTACGCCTCAAATATCGTCGTTAGTGAGACTAAATAATAAACGCAGACGGCTATCCAATGGAGACAGGTAGAATACATGGGTGGGTTGGGGGTGAAAAAATATATGTATATATTCTCGTATTTCTGCACATCCCTCCAGACCTTGATTCAACACCCGAGTTTATTGGACCGCACCATTTTAATTATTATTATCGATGGAATAGCCAGGTACATGGTAAATCGAGTTTAATTTCCACGTTATGATTTTGTCAACTGACAACAAGGTGGTGAAATAAAGTTGATAAAAATTGGGAAGGGCTGTTAGTCGCTTGATGCAATCCCTCGCATCGTGGATGCGTCGATTGTGGGGCAGGTGGGGGGGGGGGGGGGNGGGGGGGGGGGGGGGTGAAGAGGGTCTGACACATTGCGGGTCGAACCAATAACCTCGCGATTGATTCCCCCTCCTCTTCGTTAGAAGAGAAATTGGAAATCATCGAAACGTTTCGACACATTTTGGTATATGATATTGTTTTTTGAGGAAATCAATGATTTTTTTAAGAAATTGTTTTAGAAATTGTTAATCGAAAAAGGATATGGTCTTCAACAATTGAATTTTTTGGTGATTTCATTTTCTTTCGCTGTGAAAAATGTTTGCTGTATATTTTTCGGATACGGCCATAGACGAGACGAGACTTTTTAGAATTAATGAATGAAGTGATTCAGTAAAAAATCCTTTTTGCGGTGGATATCTTACGATTCGTTCGGTAAAATTCGTTTTAGGTAGAATTCAAGGAAATTAATGCGTTTTCAGGGGGAGTTAGATGGAGATTACACAATTTGACTGAATTTTCAGTGAATTTTGAATTTTTTGCTGATTTTTCGGAATTTTCCGGGAATTGGAACGGAAAATTTAGACAAAAAAATGTAAAAAGTGCAGATTTCTGAAAAAAATGAAAAAATTCAACAAAGCAAATTCAATTTACACTTGTCGTCTTTTGCGTGCAGTTTCAAAGAGAAACTTTCGACTTTTTATTCTTCATTTTTTGTATTAGCCTGAGTAAGAGAATAAAGCCACATAAATTCATTGGCTCCTTAGTCAACTGGCAACCAGTGCAATAAAAAATCATAGTTTGGGTAATGAATTTTGACGAATGATTGACTTTAACGGGACCTACACCGATAGAAGTGATTGGTTCGAGATGACCGCGAGAAAGCTGAATGAGAAAATGAGCTGGGAACATGAGAAAATCCGGAGTGCGTGTGATGAGGAAATGAAGCGCAAGCCCATTGCACCAGGCAGCTGTGTTAAACATTCTGATGGCGATGTACAGTTTTGAGTTATCTCTCCATAAATAATGGTAATCACTCTCAATCCCAATGAACCCCATCCCCATTATTAACGGACAGTGTTAACGAGTTTCAAAACTCGTTTCGTTCACCAAATATGGGTTTTATAAAGTGTAAATGGACCAAAAGTCACAACTCCCAACTTCTACAGAACTACGTAATTATAAAGAAGAATACAAGGTGAGAATTCACGTGCGTAATTTGAAAAACTGCACCCAGAGTTGCCTCATAACTAAAATCACTCGATTTATTCCTCACTAGCTGCTGCGGCTACTTTCAAATTAACCCAAATAGCCATCACCCTTTGGCAAACTTTTTTAGTTAAAAAACTTTCTTAATTGTGAAGAACCTTTCTATTATATGTACCACGTAATTCTCCTCAATTTGGCCAGGAAAAATTTTTGTTTGAATGCACTAGTCCGCCCTCAGAGGAATGGTTTATGTGAATTCGATAAATTTTATTTGAATCATATAAACGGGAAGCTTTGCTTCTTGTTCAGGCCGAAGAATATTTTTTGAATATAAATCCTCAATCCACATAAAGACTTCATGGATTTCCAACTGGAAAATTCCGTCGCACATGTGCCTGAAAAAATGGTGAGTGAGTTAAAAAATGATGAGTGCGAAGCACGAGCTTTTGAACCTGAATTTTTCTGTCCCAAATTTTTTTAAAGATTTTTTCTATTAAAATTATTGGGCCCGGAATTGCAAACTTGTTTCTGCTATATTTTGTTTTCTTTCGCATCACAGGATGCGAGCGAAAAAAACTTGGAAAATTCATGAGCAAGTACTTTTAACGAAAAAATTCCAAGACAATATTCATACACTGTTAAAAATTTTCACCTTTTCGTGTCAACTTAAGGAAATTTTTATCGTGTTCAAGTTCCCCTGAAATTTCAGGAAATCTTGTCATTGAAATATCAAATATTCCATTGACTTTCGGTTCAAATAATCTGGAAATCAATAAAATAATGGATTTTTCAGTTCAATTATTCTGTCAGAATTCAGGAAAATCAGGAAAATTCAGGGAAAAATTGAAAATTGATGCCATTTTGTTTCTGAATATTTATGTTCGATTAAAAATTCAATCAAGTTGTGAACTTTCCATCTCACTACCACTGAAAACTCATGAATTCCCTTGAATTTCACCTACAACTTAAAATTTCATAACCATTTTCCCCGAACGAATGAAAATTCATCTACGACGGAAAATTAAGCGAAAAGAAAGTTATAATAACGCAAATAATTCACAAGATTCATTTGTAATAACCATCTTATACTTTGGTTTTCCTGTACGGGATTTCCGTATCTCAGGGAAATGATAAATTGCTTCTAATCGAACCTAAATCGGATTCAATGTCACTCTCACGAGAATTACTACCCCATTTTCCATGAAATTTTGAAAAATTTTCAACAGTGTAGCCGCAGTGACAAAAACCATTGTTTTCACGAATGGCACTGCTTATATTCAACCCAGGATTAATCATATTTTTATTTCATTCGTACTGCAGCATGCAACATTTTTTTCACTCCTCTGGAACAATCCTCTGGCAGACGGGAAAGCCGACTAGACTTCTCACTCCAATATTACTTTACGGCTTCACCTCTATACCAGAGTAACTTCCCGGGGCATACGCAGCTGACTAATTCTCGTTAATCGTGAAATCGCGTGAGATAGGAGAAGTGGAAACAGCGATTGCCTCAGCCACAAACAGCGTCGCCGCGACGCATGTTGTCTCTCATACTGGCCCCCCTGGTTGTATTATGGACGCCAGCGTGAATCCAGGGGTTAACGCATGAAGCGTATAATTTCACGGTTCCGAGGATGCACGCGCACAGAATACTACGTATCACGTGAACTATACGTACAATGAGATATGGAGGAGATTGTCCCAATTATTGCAGCCGGCACATGTGTACCACCTTACGTACACAATCGCCAATTTCAATTCTCTCTTTGTCGCTCAGAGCTATGTTACGACTGTATCTTATGGGATTATCGATGAGAAGCTTATGGCGTAAGCAGGATTCAACTATCTGCTGATAGAAGTGGACACTCAGTGGCTTGCAAACTCAGAGAGAATATACAATTTCAGGTATTGCGGATGCAGATTCGGGATATAAAGCCGTTGGGGATATCTGGTCGATATGGGAACTAGTAAGGCCATTGAAATTGCGGCTGCAGGTTGATTAATTCGAGCTGAGATTGCTGTTTTGGACATTTTGAGAGCATGTTATTAGATTTTAGGGAACTGAATGTTATTCAAAGCAAAGTGGTATCCTATGAAATTCTTCAGACTGAGGTTTCTAGAAACTCAAATTTGTTGAAATTTCAGTCAGCGTCATTTGAATGTTCGATGTTGTGAATTTGAATTCAATTTTAAGTGAAAGCGTTCACAAAATTTTCCATTTATCTTGAAAATTCAAGAGAATCGGGGTTTTCATGGTAAATAATCATTAATTTTTCAATGAAAGCGCGAATTTCCAACCTCAGCGGGAAAATTGAACATCACATACAATTCAATTTACAATTGAATGAGAATTCAGAAAAGGTGTTGCCTGAATTTCCAAAATTTTCAATATTTGAGTTCTGATAATCAAGAATTACTTCAATATTCAAGAAGTTAACTCATTCGTCAACGGAGAAAGATACAGAAATTTCACACGTAAAATCACTGAGATTTATTCGAAACAGAACCATTCACAACATCATCATCCTTCTTCTAGCTGCAATTGTTTACAGAACCATTCGATAGTATCAATGTTGAGGTTCACCACTTGAGTTAGATGGTATGGCAAAAACGTCGAGCTGCACATCAAAGTGTCCTTGGGGTCCAGTGAAAGCCCCGACCACGACGTAGTTTTTCCCGGGTCCACCGGCCTGAATATTGACGAGTGCTTCTGATCCTAGAGCATTGACACCTTCTACAGTGGTGATTATCCCATCGATATTCGTGATTGGCTCAATAATATACGTTGGTCGCTCGATGCCGTTTCGTGCTTGTGGTCCCTGAAAACATACATCACACAGAGAAAAAACTTAGAGAGAGAAATTATCGAACAGGTGAAGTAATCTTGCAGCGAACTCGATTTCCAGTATTTTTTTACCCTACAATGAGAAAATTAAACAAATCTCGTTTGGGCCAACAAAATCGCTAGTCAAAAATCACCAAAAAGAAGTTGTTTGGTTCGAATTTGAAAGTCTCAAATATGAATAATTGCTCTACTTTCGACAACAACGAAATATTTGCCTCAAGAGGCAAATAATTGGTGATAGATTTCTAAAAACTAATGATATGAAATTCGAGATTTTCGAGATATTTCGAGATCAATTTCCTTTCTCCTTTTTACGGTAGGATATTTTCTCCCTGAAAAGGCACGGTCTCGTGTGAATTAATTGGTGATACTGAAAACGGATTAAAACAACTCTGATTCCCAAAAATTACAGATGAGTCTCTGGAAATAGAAAATCAGTGGCGATGTCGCTGGAAATTAGCGATAATGTCATTAAAATTTCGTCACAAAGTCTCAGAATTTCAGAATTTTTCACTCGTTGAATTTCACGATCCCGAATGTCTAATAATTAGAGATAGATTCCCGAAAATCAGTGACATGTCCCTAAAAATCAAGGCTTGTTTCTCTGTGAATATCAATAAACTGTTGGAAACCTGCATAACGAACAAGCGTATCACCGTGGATATCCGTTCCCTCACGTTCGTCTGTTATTAAACTGTCGATTTACTCACAGCGATCAAGCGTCTAGATGCTACTAAGATATCTCCTCTCTGATGCTTTCCGGCATGCAGGTCTTCAGCTGCAACAAAAGCAGACAGGGCAAAGCAAATTATCACTGACACTTTCATGTTTACTCCTCAACTGTTTTAATGAACGTCACACGGATCTGTTTCGTACACTGGGACGAGTCAAATAGCTGCACCAGGAATTTATGTTATTGTGTTATCACTCTAATCCTTCGCTTCCTGTTCAACGTTCAAGTTACTGAACACGTAATAAATTATCACTGGAATCCACAGCTATCGAGTATTTTCGCACAATTATCAAACAAACAATTCACTCTGATTAGGTTGCGCTACCAATGCGTTGATCTTCAATTTTGCGAGATTCCGTCGAACAGCGAAACATCACGATTTGACAATAAATCGTGATGGAACCGTGATGTGTTTAGGACTGTTTAAGCTCTCCCAACATTCCGTTATTTAGCCTATTATTATCGTCCATGGAAATGAATAACATCGTAAATTGCTTAAAACCTAAATACCTGGAGAATTCTGTAGTGACAATGGTAATGCACTGTTAAAAATTTTGGGCTAAAATTTGCAGTATAGTTGGTAGGAATTTCCATCACATTTTAGTTCCACTGAAATTTCATTGTTACAAATTTTTGTCTGAAATTTCCGGTACAGTTTTTGGAAATTTTTATCAAATTTAATAACCACTGAAATTTCAGGGAATTTCCTCGTTGAAAATTCAGAATTTCGTGGAGAAATCAAAGGGAACTGTAAATTTCAAGCTCATTTTTCCCTAAAAATAAATGGAAAAGCAGAAAATTACGGAAAATATATTCTTGAATTTTCAAGACGGTGACATTAAATGCGATTGAGGGGGAAAAATCGTGAAATTTCAGATTTCACTGAAATTTCAATGTAATTTGGCACTGAATATTCATATTAGATTGGGCATTCAAATAAATTAAGAAATTTTACTGAATTTTCAGGGAAACCTGAAATTTCATGATTTTTTCGCCCTAAATCGCCTTCAGTGTTACTGTGCTGACAATTAGTAGTCAACACAGACAATTAGTTGTCCATGAAATTTCATTTTTTTCTAGCAGTGAAATCTCCTGCAAGGATTTTCGCCATTGGAAATCCAAAATTCTAAGGAAAAATCAATGGAAGTTGTACATTTTACTTCAATTATTCCATGAAAATAAATAAAAATCGGAACGATTCGGATATATAACATTTAATTTAAATGTCAAATGAATTGGAAAATCCTTGCCTTGCAGAATTGCAATTGCAGCTTGACTGTACAGATTTAACGTGACTGACTGCATTGATCGACGATTCTTCTTACTTTACGTAATACGTTCTTATCAATTTTGTGGTGAAGTGGTAAACTAGGATAAGTGCAATTTTTTTGGAAAATTTTCTATCCTAGTTTACGACTTCGCTACAGAATTCCCCAAACATTAAATAGATTTTCTCTCGAAATTCTAATTCTATTTGAATTTATTATTTGCCTAATGAAGGTAGGCGGCGGGTTGAGTCGAATCTAGAGAGGAGAATTTCTGCGATCCCCGGTAGCTTAGTTGGAAGAGTTTCCGGCGCGATACTGGGGAGACCCGAGTTCGATTCCCGGCGGGGGTATCGGGAATTTTTTCTCTCGAAATTCTAATTCTATTTGAATTGAGGGATAGCACTAGTTGATGATCTGTATCAAATACTGACCTTAAATAAACATTCGAACACTAGCCGAGCATCTCCTTTTTCACGATTAGCCATGTGTAAGTCACCGAACGCAATACCCAGCGATAGGCAAATTAGAAGAGCGAACCTCATGTTGATCCTCTGTTGAGGCTTTGTAATCTGTCCTGCAGACTGCACTGATGCTATCCATTGGATTAGGCAGGCAGTTTATACTGGTCCTATCTCTTCAATGCGTAACTGACGAATCAGGTCAGAAAATTATAAAAATTGTGGAAAATCATTTCTGAAGTCGTCGGTTACGAACAATTTCCTTCTTGTTATTAGACGAAATCTCGCAAGTGCTGGTAGTGATTGACACTCCGAATGAACCACCCTGGTACATTAATATTCATACATGTATATGAGGAGGAGTCGAAACAGCTTGACAAAGGGAACGTATATCTGGAGAATTTGGTGCAACTTGAGTTGAGAAAATGAACAAAATCCTAAAAGTGAACTTTTGTATTGATTGAATATAGAATCGCGCAAAGGAAAACATCTAGACGTTTCTAAAATATGTCCGCCGCTTGGGCTCAATCGCAATGAGCTCAGAGGGAAAAACTAACCTTGCCTTCTCGTTCCAGACTTTTTTTGTCGTTTTAAAAATATTTAAATTCGGAAAGCGAATGGACATGTCTCAAGTTGAGACTTTCAAAGTCTTAACTCGAGACATTCAAAAGGTTCAACTTGACACACTCAACAGTCTTAATTTGAAACCTTCGAAAGTCCCGACTTCCGATATTCGACAGTCCTAACTTTCGAGAATCCCAAGTTGAGAATTTTACAATTAAAATTCAAATTTTCGAAAGGCTCATTTGAGACTTTCACAAGTCTTAACTTGACATCGTAAATGTCAAATTGAAACTTATTTTTTGTTTGGTGAATCACATTTCTGATATATTGGATCTTTTTTGGACAAAGTTGAGAAAAATAAGACAACTGGATTAATTTGCAATGATATTTATTAGAGAATTTCAATTTATCACTAATGGCCGCAGCACTCGGCAGATATTCAACCTACACATCAATACTTAGATGTCCAGAAAAACTGGTGTACTGTTGGAAGGTGGCGGTGGTGGTGGTGGTGGAGCTGTGCCATTTGGGTTGGGAAGAACAGCGTAGACGTCCACTGTCACGTTGATACCTGTACCAATCGGGCTAGTAGCTAACAGGATGACTTTCCTGCTGTTAGGTCCACCTCCAACGATTCTCACTATGGCGTTTGATCCTAGATTGTTGACAGCATTGACAGCAGTGATTCTACCGGGTGAACCGAGTCCTTGGAGGGCAATTCCAGGTCTACCAGGTGCTGGTTTCTGAAATTGGGAGAAACAAGCGAATGTCAGATGAGGACAATCAGAGAAAAAACGAAAACTACCAGGTAACTGAAGTAGTTCTTTGATAGGTCAGACATTTAATGTATCAAGAAGTCCGGTAGAATGATCCTATGAACAGTCCTGACTTTAGAAACAAATGAAACTCGAAAATTTCTTTCTCAAAGTCTTAGGAGAATTCGTCTTATTAAATGAGGATGAATTTCATGTCTTTTAATAGAACGATTCACAAAATTCAGTTATCATTCCCTCAATAGCGAAATTTTGAATAGAGATTAAGATCCTACATAAGCAAAAATCATATAGCTTGACAAACTTCCCTATCAAAGGACTCAGGAAAGGATTCAGGTGGTTTCGAAAGGATTCTAAAACACTGTTTTTTTGAAATTATTTGTAAGAGGTTGAAGAATGTCTGGTGCTTCAGACGTTTTAGCAGTTTTACTGTCTTGCCAAGTGATCACTAATGCAGGAAAGCAGCTAAAACTTTCGAAGCTTCACATGATCTCGGTTATGAAAATCAAGTTTGATAATGAATTGTTTTTCTGATAATTTCTCATTATTTCTAATTAATTCGTGAATTAATTAATCAAAATATTCCCTCACCCGAACAATCGGCTTGGAGACCACTAGGACATCTCCTTCCTCGCGTTGTCCAGCGTGTAAGTCGGCTGCCGCAAAAACAGCGAGTGATAACAGAATAAGGGCAGCGAATTTCATGATGATTGCTAGTCAATTTCTTGCACTATTCGTTGACGACAACTTGCTGACTGACGCCGATCATCACGTCGGAGACAATTTATATTGTCGCGTTGTGGTATCTCCATCGCGGGTGGTCGAAAAAATACGAAGATTCTGGGGAATTCGTTTCAGAGTCAACAAGTCTCAAGGATTTCTTTCCGGTTATCGAGTAAAAATAGAAGTTTCCAAGATATTTACGCACAATAGTTAAGTGGAATTGTGAGCACTAGAACTGATTATTTTCGTTGTTTTTATGGATACTAGTTATCACTGATAGAGTCACGGGATCTTCATTGATTTCGTCATGAATCAATACTTCAACTGTAGAAAAACGTTTTTTGATTTCAGAGAGATTTTATTAAAATTTAATGTAACATGTCATGTGCAGGTCAAATCTGATGCAGTTGACAAGAACGGCACAGCGAAAGGTATCGTAGCGAAAAAAGAAATTATTTACAAATTCACGCCAAATTTTAGTGTAGACAACTTAATTGTGGAATGAAATGTAAAAAAAATCGCAGAGAAAAAAAGTTTTGATTTTCAGAGACATTCCACTGATTTTCAGTTGGTCGTTACGAAAACACGGGGTATTTTCAAACTCTTCAACTGCACAAATTATTATTTGCGACATAATTGTCCATTTTCTCATGTTTTTAATGGGCAAAATTGATTAATTCTTGCTTCTTATATTTTTATTGGTGATGAGCTTTCATAAATGTCATCAATTTCAATTCCGACCATTTTCCTTTTTTGCGAATGGCATAAATTTGATTTTCTTTCCTTTTTGACTTGGATATAGATTCTAAATTCTCGAAAACCGCGAAAATTCCCCGATTTTGGAGAAACTTCTCAGAAAACTTCTTTTTTCATTCTAGAAAAATTTAGAAATTGATTCAGTTTTGTAGAAAATTTTTGGATTTTGCGGATAATTCAAGAAAATTGTTCAATTTTTTAGAACATCGACTCATAACAACATAACATAACAACATAAGCTGAAAAGTGAAAAGGACTTGATCAAAGATTCAAAATTATTCATTAGATTTTCACTTAGTATTCATCTTTATCAATGATTGAGTTTTTTTGTCTACACGGAGAGAAATTTTTGATAACAATTATCCTACCGTTCTATAAAAGTGTATGAGTCATCGTTTCCTCATTTCTATCCCGAAATTTAGTAAAAATTAATATATGATGATCAAATTTTATTCTACGTTAGAGAAATTTTATTCTGATAAAAATAAAAATTACTGTGCCGGCAGAGTAAAAATTACTGTACCGGTAGGGTACAATTTACCAGCCGTTCTAGAATTTTCGTTGTTATCTACATAAAAATTATTGGACTGGAAGGATAAAATTTGTTATGCGTCAGGATAAAATTTCTCAAACGTAGAATAAAATTTGATCATCATATATTAATTTTTACTAAATTTCGGGATAGAAATGAGGAAACGATGACTCATGATACACTTTTATAGAACGGTAGGATAATTTTTATCAAAAATTTCTCTCCGTGTATGTATCATTCATGTTTATACTGTCTTATAATGGTATAAAATTTAATTCATTCAAAATTTGAATGAAGAAATGGAAACTTCTGTCAAGTTAATGTGGTGATAGATCGTTGCGCACGTCCTGTCTATTTTAACAGAATATCCTGTCAAAAGTTTCCGTACAGGCACCAACCAAAAAACTCCACAAAATTCGGTAACAAAATGTCATCCACCTGGCCAGGTAATTTTAATTGGAAACCCCACCCACGTTTTCCCCACGCTATATTAAAAAGTCCGACAAAGGGCGAAAACCAATGTGAACAGTGACCCCAATAGCCAAAACCAGTTGGAGCAGAAAGATCGCCTAATGAGTCGACATACAAGATTTGTTCGTCCCCCAAACGCAATTACGTGTTTGTTCCACGTAAACACTTGAGATTATCGATCACCCGAGCCTCGAGATATCGGTCAATGACGATGATAGTGAATCTAGCAACTGAAAAGTTAAAAGTTTAAAGTATCCCCGACGTTAACAATGCGAATCAAGTATTTGTCATTTCCATTGAGAGCATCACTCGAGTTACAAAGAAAATAATGAAAGATCGAACCAACGTTTTTCGCAGCGTTCATTTACCATTGGACACGTGATTCTATGGAATTTTCTGGCGGAAAAAAAACGTAACGTCGACATCTGATCGTTGGACGGATAGCCGAACAAAAATTCTGCGTGTACGCCCATTGAGCGAATTCTGAATTGATGCTTCTCTTTGTGGTCGCCAACTCATGCATGGCGAATACTCCATGATAAAAAAATTGGGCTGGGGGAGGGCGGAATAAAACCAAAAATACAATGAAAAAAGAATAGGACCACTGGGAACAATGTATTAGTGAATACAAAAAGTGATTACATTTTTTTTTCGTTATTGAGTAGTCGGTGAAAAATATTCTATTCATACGCAATCTCCCAAATCGTTCCTACACATTACATATTTGTCGGGTTTTTAAACGGACGCATTCGATTGTTTGCCTTCAATTGCAGTACCATTGTGATTTTCTTCAATTTGATTTTTTATTCTACGCTGGGAGGAACAAGTGGGAAATTGCGTTCGTCACAACAGGGTCGATATATTTTTGCTAATAAATTAGCGATTTGCTTTCGAATGGAATTTCTAGGACGATGTATTTTCAATTGAATTCAATGATTCGAGGAGTTCTACGTTGTTCCAACGGTGACAGCCAACCTTGCCCCGACGTTAAAATTTTTCTACCTTTTTCTGAATATTGGTTTCAAAATCAATTTTTTTTAACAATAGATGATGCAATTCATCTCATTAGCGAACTCGGTGTAGACGGCATTGGGAAGAATATTTTTAATCACGATTGGATTCATTCAAACAATAATTTTTTCAGTTGTCCGGATATTGAAAATAACATATTGGAACTTTTAAGACCAAAATCAGTTATTCCGACACTAAAAATTGGAAATTTCGCATTTGACGAATGCAGGCAAAAACTACCTAATCATGGAACTAATTTCTTCAGTCAAATAAATCATTTCTAGTGGACGCACAGCAGCCAAGAATTTTGTAGAGTGACATAGGCCTCTTATCTATAAGTTTGTGAAGTGTCCATGACTTGAAGTCTGAAGGAACAGTTTTTCTACCTCAAGAGGTAAGAAATTGATTCAAAATACTATTTTCTTCTCATCGTTTCGAGAATGTTATTTTCTTTAGAAAAAAAAAATAATATTTCATTTAAACTTTAAAAACTTATGTCTTCAAGATATCTTAATTTAAATTTTGAGACACGAAAATGTGTCTTATCGGCTGACTTCATGGTGACTGAGATTTCGAATGTCTTGAAATGCAAGTCACCAAATTTAAGACATTGCTTCTGTCTCAATGCAAGCCACTATTCATATATGCCGGCAGTACTATGACATGACATTAACTCCCTGAATTTTCCGTGTCAAATCCTGGAAATTTTACCATGTTTAATTTCCACTGAAATTTCAGGAAATCTTGTCGTTTAAAAATCACATATTGCATGGATTTTCTGTTCGAATTATCGAAAAATCAATAGGGTAATCAAATTCATGGAAAAATTCATGCCGTTTTATTTCTGAATGTTCATGTTCCATTGAAAATTGAATCAAGTTGTCAAATTTTCGTCTCACTCTCACTGAAAACCCACGAATTTATTTGAATTCTACCTAAAACTTGACGTTTCATAACTACTTTTTCCCTAAATCGGATTCAATGTCACTCTCATGAGAATTACTATCACATTTTCCATGAAATTTCGAAAAATTTCTAACACTGTGCTTCATGCGGAAGAGCATCGCATGCTCGCCCAGAACTTCTCGTGGATTAATCGAATATTTATGCTATATTCTTAGCTCAAGAAATTATGTCAGTGACATTCGATCGATTTTTCTCCCAGCGGAGAAATTCACCGATAAATAAAATCTTCCGTTTGGAACGAAATTGCGGGTCATTACGTAGAGTTTACGAACCACAAAATTATGATGTCGCAATTCAGAATTATCCGATTGCATCATTCATGGATCATCTAACATTTCCATTAATCCTTCAGACTGCAGGGGGATGAGACAATTTTTACGAGAACGAAAGACGTTTGTTGGAATGTACAGTGTCAAGCTGTATTCGATGAAAAAGAACTTGACAAGTGTCAGACTTGGTTGCCATTGAGATCAATTTTTTTGTGTTCCCTTTGTCTCAGGACACTTCTTGTAACTCAGTTTAACGGATAGAGCAAAAAAAATGGGAAAATCGAGATGGAATCCATCGGGTGGAGTGCGGCGGAGGTCTGTAAAAACAGAGCCAAAAGGAAAACTCTCTCACGGTCGATTCAATATTTCACGGAGAATCCATGAGAAAAGATCGTCAAAGTTTCTTTCCACTTCAATGTCGCTTCTCGATTTTTACCCACCTCTTCTCTACGTCCCTTTCAATCGTTTCGCGAGCTACATTCTATGAAGGAAACATGACGTAGCAGTTAGAAAAACACGAGATTGATTTGGATAAGTAACTGAAAAAATGTACTTAATTGTTTCCTTATTCTTCATTTGTGTTGAGGGTTGTGCAACAATAAATTAAAGGGAAAACGTATTTTTCATTCAATAAATGAACGAATCAATTGCATAAAATGATATTCAATTAATTTTCTGATATACTGTTACTATTAATACTGTTCGATTGGTTGAGAGGAATGAAATATAAACCGAAAGGACATTATGATTTTATTTCTCTATATTGTAAAGTTCGGAGTTGCTTTTTAGCGATATGAAATTAGGGGGCAAGATGACAATAAAGGTTAGAATTTCAAAACATGTGACATTCTATAGATTTGTTTGAATAAATACCTGAAAAAGTTTACTTGTTTTTTTGTTTCACTTATTTGTTTAATGTTTCGCACCAACAGATTAGAGGGGAAAAGTGTTTTCCATTTGAGAATGAGTCAATTCAGTAAAACGCTTTTCCTTTAATGTTCTGAAAGGGTTCTTTTGTCAGAGGTAAAATGAAAAATTGGAAATACTGT